TGTAGTCTATTAAGTGTGCAATAGCATTATGTCTAAAAAAACAATGTACATACCTTAATTAAAAAATACTTTATTGCTAAAAAATGCTAACCATCATTTGTTGGAAAAATGGCGCCGATAGACTTGCTCGATGCAGGGTTGCCACAAACCTTCAATTTGTAAAAAACGCAATATCTGCGAAGCACAATAAAGCGAAGCACAATAAAACGAGGTATACCTGTAAAGACTCTTAAGGCCTCCTGATTCCTAGGCCTGTCTGAACCCTTATCACTTACCTGGGTACCTCTTGTGCTTGTCACCTGTCTTGACTAGGAGGTGTCCTTGTGTCCTCCTGTGGCCCCATCCCCCGGTGAAGCTAGTTTAAAGTACACCATATGAGATCAGCCATCCACTGCAATAAAGCAATACAAATTATTACTTCTTTCTGTTGCAACCATAAATTTGGGCATTTATGGTGTGACAACATGTATGGACATGTACTTGCTTTTGCTTTGTGTTGACATCAAAATTTTTATGGTGGCTCAAAGATGAGGAAAGGTGATGTCTGTTTCCACCCTGAGTCTCGGGTGTTTATAATCCATGTATAATAATTTTTCTTTTTCTGCTTACCTAACAAGTCCTTTCATTGGGAAGTGAAATGGGACACATTCTCCTCTGGCTCTGGAGAAGTTGGGAATTACTGTGAAACCTGAGCTAAATATTAGCACAGGGATAGGCAACCCCCCCGCATACGTGCCAATTAGTGGCATGTGGAGATGTTTTCCTCAGCATGCCAGGAGGTGTGCAAGGAAAGTGTTTAAAAAAAATGTTTTTTAAGTTGCTGCTCTGGGCGCTCTGGAGCAGCCACAGATCCTAGTGCCATGGCAGGCACCAGGGGCTGTAACTCGGAACACAGGCAGGAATGCTGTCTGCATTCTGCTGACCCTGATTCCTGCCTCCAGGCTGCGCCGTCCAGCCCAGACCCTCAAGGGGAGCTGCAGGTGGGCAAGGCTGGTGTCCGGGCAGGCACTGCAGAGGGCCGTTGTGCTGGAGGCTCCTAGATGGGTTGACCCTCAGTGCTGCCAAGAGGGCAATTCCGCCCTGCTCACACTGTGCCCAGTATACAAGGAGGTTGAGCCTGGAGCCAGGAGTCTCCTGAGTTTGGCATCTTGCCCCAGCCAGGTGGCATCCCCTCATGGGCCAGGCGAGGCCCCACCTTAGGTGCCGCTGGGTGCTCCTGCCCACCTGCTGTGGATTGAGCCCGAGAAGCCCCAGGGCAGGCCCTGCTTCCTGCTCAGCCCCCGCTGTCCTCCAGCTGCTGTTTTCCCAAGGGCCTGGCCCGGCTGGCCCACCCAGAACACCTGGACCCACACCTGCTTCTCCCTGCATTGCTTGGACCCTGCCCCAAGTGCTGAGCCCCAGGTACTGGCTTCGCCCACCTGCAGTCCCCTCTCGGGGCCAGGGCCCAGGCAGGCGCTGTGGAGGGTCACTGGGCTGGAGGCTCCCAGCTGGCTCAGCCCTGAGTGCCTCCCACAGCAGCTGTTCCCCAGGGCCAAGGGGACTCTTGCTGCCAGGCCTTTCCACTGGGAGTGGCTCTGCCCTGCTCATGCTGTGCCCAATGCACAGGAAGGCCAAGCCTGGAGCCAGAAGTCCCCTGAGCCTGGCATCCTGCCCTGACCAGGCAGCATCCCCTCGTGCACAGGGCAGCAGTGGCCCATCTCCATGGAGCTGTGTGGGCTCAGGTGCCGCTGGCTGCCCTTGCCTGCCCAACATGGACTGAGTCTGCGGAGCCTCAGGGCAGCCCCACCTTCCTGCATGACCCCCGCTGTCCTCTGGCAGCCACCTTCCCAAGGGCCCAGCCAGGCCAGCCTTCTCACAGTGCCTCACCCCACGCCTGCTTCTCCCCACCCTGCCCTTAGCACCCAGCCCTGATGCTTAGCTCCCTGGTGCTACCCCTGCCCAGGTGGGATGGGCAGGGGTAGCACTGGGACATATCAACTTTTCCTGTCTACTCGTTCCCCAGCTGGGCCTTCTCTCCCAGCCCTTGGCCCAGGCTCCCCCTGCTCTGGGACCACCGAGGAGGCCTGAGTGCCCTGGCCCTAGTGGCTCTTGCTGGAGTGTTGTTGCCTCCGTCTGCCAGACATTGTCCTGGACCACTGGGCCCAAGCCATAGCTGGTAGCAGTGGGAGATGTGGGCAGTGAGGAACACACCCTCTTTCTCTCTTTACTTTTTTTCCTTTCTTCTTTCTTATCCTTTCTTCTTTTTCTCTTCATTCTCTTTTTTCTCTCTCTCCCTCTCATCACAACGTGCTTAACAAAAAAGAATACACAAGAACAAAGGTAGTATATGAAGTTTTTTTTATTGTCATCAGGTTTAGAATTTTTAGAAAACTTGGTATTTACTGTAACCCCCTCCCAATATTTATGATTATTAACTATACTAATATGCACTGTGTCCTGTCATGTACCCCCCCCACCCCAATTTTGTTTTTTTGACATTATGGCACCTTACAAGGTAGACATTGTGGGTTTTTTGGCACTCCCACTATAAATGTTGCCTACCCTGACTTAGCACCTGAAAATGTTTAATGGAATCTTTGCCACTTTCAACAATATTTTCTGAAAAAAATGAGAAAATTAATTTTCAGAAGTAGTTAATTTAGATGAAGTTTCAGGAATTGTCTTTAATCCTGTGAAGAAAACAAAGGTCATGATTGCAACATGCAAATTATCTAAAGGCGTGTTGAATGGAATTTTGTCCTAAGAGAAAAGTTGTTTATTCCTCCAAGACAGTGGGGCAATAAAATTGTATTACTCTGAAAGTGATATACATGCTTATGAAAGAAGCTGAAAAGATACCTTAGAAGTCTACAGCTGTCTCTCCAATGAACGACACAGCAGAAATAGTTGCTGTGCTCATATTGCCTTGATACTGGGTGCAAACAGAAGTGCAGCTCCCAGCTGTAACTCAGAACATTTTCTGCAAAGCATTCTGAGTTACAAACAGAAGTTCACTGTTGGTTCTAGGGGGAAGGGGAATCTAGCTGTGGGCTGGGAGCGTGGAGCCAGATTTTTAGGAATTTATCTTACTGATAGTGTGCTTTCTTTACAGTCTACCAGCTGTCCAGCCCTCTATGGAGCTTCTTGAAAGTATAAAGTTGCATCTGAAACGACCGGTTTGGATTAATGCAGATATTCTACCTGGACCCAATGGAAGTAATGCTGTAGTGGATGCAAAAATTTTTTTAGACATTGTAACATCATTTTTCCCAGATGTAACGTTATCCCTGGGGTGGACAACTGGGTGCCAGCTTCAAAGATGCAAGGAAGGTAAAGATGGAAGATAATCATTTACATTTTTCAAGGTTAAATATCCCCCCAAATTTGCATCAGTAATCTTTATGGAAAGAACATTCTGTGCATCAGTGTCAGGTTTTTTACAACTGTAACAACTATAAATAAAAGTATTATTATTACTAAATTTATTAGTCTAGCAGTAGTACTTTATTTGCAACTTGCACTAAAATAATACAATAAAATGAACAATACAATTATATATGATAAAGTAACATTTATATAATTTTGTTTTTTGCTAAAAGCTGACAATAAGATTATCCACTCTACCAGCTTACACAAAATTAAAAAAATATATAGTATATGATGATACAAAAAAGATCAAAAGAAGTAGTGGACAGTAAAACAAAACAGGAATTCTATTTGATTTTTGGCCTTTATTCTTTGTGTAAGTTATGCAGATATACCTAAGGACTGTAGGGCAGGCTCCAAATTGTTAAAGAGAAGCCAGATTGTTTTTTCTTCATTAGTCCAGTATTTCAAATTTCCCGTGAATGGAGAGATCCATTTTCCTCATTTCTTCAAAGAACAAACAAATAGCAATTTCAGTAATCTATTTTAGGCCCTTTTTACACATTCTGCTTAGCACATACCAATTTTAATTGCTGTTAAAATTGGGAAATGGTTTGAGCAATCACATGTTAAGGTTCAGGTGCTCTGACCTACCCTTAGAGGGGTATGGCTAACAGGCACATGGCTAGGAGCCAGGTTGGCTCTGTGTCTGCCCAACTTGCCTGCTCTCTGGCAGGTTAGGTGGTCCAGTTTGTGGGCAGCTGGGGGCTGGCAGGATTGCATTGGACCTACCAGCCCATGCCTGCCTGCAATCTGGGTCCCCACTTCCCCCTGCCACCCAGATTGAGCCCACTGCCTCCCCCTGCTTGCCTGCATTGCACCCACTGGTGTACCCTCCTACCCTCAGGGCTCTCTCCCTAATGCTCAGGACTACCCCCATCCCTTGCAGCTCATCCGTGCCTCCCCCAGCTTATCTGCAGCTCTCAGCACTGTCCTGAAGGAGCAAACAAGGAAGGGGAACTTAGCCACTGCTGTCACTACCGCCGCTGCCAAGCCGCAGCTGATCTCTGGGCTGAGCCCAGCCAAGACAGCAGCAGTAGCAGGCAGGATCCTTTCCCCTGCTTGCTTTCCCAGACAGTGCTGGGAGCTGCTGGGTGGAGTGGTGAGTGGGGATCTGGAGCGTGGGGGCGGTCAGGCCTCATGCGTGGTGGGGGGTGGTGTGGTGGACCTGACGAAGGGGCCTGGCAGGCTTGATGCAGGCCAATGGGGGTGGAGTGCTGCCTCTTCCCTCCCTGCATTGGCATGCATAGAGCCCACCACCTACTGGAGACAGTCTTGAAAGGTAGGAAGGGAGTCCCAGGGGAAGGAGGTGGGCAGAGAGGGAGCCCCAATGGTATGGGGAGGAGGGGGAGAGTCCCAAGAGGCAGTGGAAGAGCCCTGGGATCAGGGCCATGGGAGCCTAGGAGCTGGGAAGGAGAGGAGATTCTTACCTTTAGGTGTTTCCCCACCTGCCACTGCTGTCGCTGTGGGGGAAGATAGTGTGGCTGGGAGCAGTGCCTCCTGGGATGCTGGATGACAACTCCCAACTAGTTTTGGGCCTGTGGAGCAGTCAAACATGACTGCAACACAAGCTACCCAAAGCCAGTTAGAGATCATCCTCACTGGAAGAGGATTATTAGGACTACCGTACCAAGTTGTTATTTAATTCTTTAAAAAAAAATGAAAAAAATCGTGTGTAGACAATGTTCTCATTTCCTTGAAATTTTTAGTTGATGAGTCTATGATAATATTCATTGGTTGTATGCTGCAAGAGGCAGGTGCAGATACAGACATTTTGTTTGCCAGGGAGGGAGTAGGGGGTAAATTTTGAGTAGGTCTCTCTGAAGTAAGAGTGAGGAAAAAAGACATGCTGAAGAGGACATGCTTCATCTATGGAGCAAAGGATCTGGCTATACAAAAACCAAGGAAGTGCCAAGCAGGGATACCTGAGCTAATTAATTCTACATACATTAGTTCTGTAACTGGTAGCAGCAGCAGTATATTCATACAGTGCATCACTGTACTAGCACACATTTACTGCTTCCATTTCTGAAGCTAGCATGCACAGAGCTAGTTCAGGGACTTCTACTGTGTAGCCAAATGCTTGCTTTTTTATAAATTAACAAATTAGCATGAACAATCAGGGAGATCAGCCAACACCCCCTTCTCCTATTCAGTCCTGGTAATAAGAACAGGTCATATGGCTTATAGCAACTTTAGTATCTGTGCAAGTTGCTAGTACTATCTGGCATCTTCCCTTTTCCAGCACCCAAAATCTATATTAGCTTTTGTATTTGATTTTTTTTTTAAACTCAAGTGATACTTTTTAGCCTATTCATTTGTCAAACTGAATAATTAACTACACAGAAAGATATTACTGTGGTGATTGAAGTTAAGATTCCCAATAGAATGTAGAAATGGGAGAACAACTAAAAACTACTTTTACTAGTTCTGAAGCTTTCAAAACAATAG